AACAGCTTGGAGGCGGGTCTTGCGGCGCAAACCCGCCCAGAATTATGAGTCTTTTATCATGGAATTGTCGGGGGCTTGGCAACCCTACGGCGATTCGAGTTCTAGCGGACTTGGTCCGTTCTAAGAGGCCGTGTGTTCTGTTTCTTGTTGAGACATTTGTTGATAGGCACCGGATGGAGGAGGTGCGTGTACAGTTGCGGTATGATAGTGTGTTTGCCGTGGATTCGGATGGGCATAGTGGAGGTCTTGCGGTATTGTGGATGAATACGGTGGAGTTGAGGGTAACGGGTTATTCTACTAATCATGTGGATGCTGAGGTCGAGTTGGATGTTGGGAGTCCGAAGTGGCGTTTAACGGGGTATTATGGATATCCGGAACGTACCCGACGTAGGGAGGCCTGGCAGATGTTACGCACGCTATCGGGGCGGAGTCAGTTGCCTTGGTTGGTTGTGGGTGACTTTAATGATCTTATGGACCAGTCAGAGAAACATGGGCGTGTGCCTCACCCGGAGTGGCAGATTAATGGGTTTAGAGCGGCGGTGGATGATTGTGGTCTGCATGATGTGCCTTTTAGTGGATATCAGTTCACGTGGGTGAAGTCCAGGGGAACTGATCATATGATTGAGGAAAAGTTGGATCGTGTCCTTGCATCTGATGATTGGCTTATTCTATTTGAGGGTGTACGAGCGCAATCTTTAGTTGTCCCTTACAGTGATCACTCGCCGTTGTTAGTCACTCCAGTTGTGTTACCCGGGATTCGGAGATGGCCACGGTTTTGTTTTGATAATATGTGGCTACGGGAGGATGTGTGCCGAGAGATTGTGGTGCAGAGCTGGACTCGGTCTGCGGGTTTGGATACTATCTCTAGAATCGGTATGTGTGCTACGGATATAGGCCGTTGGGGACGTCAGTATAATAAGGAGTTCCAGCAGAGGATAGACCGGTGTAAGAGTCAGATGGAAAGGTTGTGTATGCGGCGAGATGGGTATGGGATGAGAAGTTATGCAGCTGCGCAGAAGGAGCAGTTGTTTTTGTTAGAACAGCAGAGTTTGTACTGGAAGAAGCGGGCTAAAGAGCACTGGTATAAGGGGGGCGATGTGAATAGTAGGTTCTTTCATAATTCGGTAAAAGTCCGCCGGCGGAGGAATAAGGTGGTGAGGTTGCAAGATGGGGAGGGTAGTTGGGTGGAAGGGGAGGAACAGTTAGGAGAGTTGATGGTGGCTTATTTTGAGGAGTTGTTCTCGCCGGACTATGGGGATGTACAGGAGGTGATTGATGTTATTACAAAAAGGGTTTCTAATGTGGATAATGCGGGGTTGTTAAGGCCGCTGAGTATGGACGAGGTCCGTGAAGCGGCTTGTAACACCCCGTGTTACGACCCCTAAGATCAATTAAATCATTTAATCAATTACCCAAAAGAAGGAATTAAATCACAATAATTAATTAGGAAAGGCCCCACCATAGTCCACGGGCCCTTATCCCTAAACCCAATCCTTAGTCCCAAAAGAGATAGAATTAGCAAGCCCATAATATTAGTTCCTAACTAGGACTCCTAAATATATAAATAGGGGACTTAAGAGGCACCTAGAAATCCCCCACCACAATAAACGCCCCACCACCCCAAAGAGCTCCAAGAATCCCCTTAGAAGAAATCAAGAAAGCAAGAAAGCTCAAAGAAAGACCCTTCATAAGCCAAGGAATTAATTAAGGCTAAGAGGTAACCCATGTCTCAACAAAACCTATTTTCATAGTTATGATTCCCCCTTAGGATCCCCCATATTATTGTATGTTGATGATTCGTTATATTGATAATTGGTGTTATGATTCCATTGATGTTCTTGATGATCTTGACGATGATGGGTTCTTGATAATTATGGCGTTCTTGATGATTAAAATGACGTTCTTGATAATTACATGGTGATCTTGATGTTCTTAATGATTATATGAGGCTCTTGATAGTTATGTGATATTCCTACCGAATCTTGATTCGGGAAGATGAATTGTGTTCTTGTTGATTAAAAATAATTAGAACCCTAGGTTATATCGTGGAATTCGTATGGTATTATTCTTGGTATATTGGGTCGGATTTCGCATGATTGGGTGTTTATTATGTTTAGAAAAGCATGATAGGTTATGTGCCGTTTGTTTCTTGATGTTGATCCGTTAATTGTCTACGTGTGTTATCAATTGCGTTTGAAAGTGTCTAAGCATGGTTCCGGGTTCCACGAAGGTTCCCAGGGCGTTTTGTGATGAAAAGAGTCAGTGGGGGGTAGGGGACCCGCCACCTACCCGCGGCCTATTTGGGCATCACCGGCAGCGGGCAGCCGGCGGGCGGGCAGCTGCCCGCCGGGCACCCGCTGCCCGGAACAGTTGCCGCCGGCGGGTGAACCCTCACCCACCGGCTACCCGCTGGTTTACACCCTACCTCGGGATTCCGGCTTCCCCGTTTGATGTTCCCCCGACCCCCGTGGTGTCCCAACGGACTCCGTCCATCGCGCCTATGTCTAGTTTGATATTTCGGGTACCGTTCGTAGGTTGTATGAGTCTTATATATTGCATGCTAGTTGAATTGGTATCCCGTTGACCTAGGTATAAGAAGTATGAACCCCTTAGGAGTATTCTTAGTTGTGGATGACCACGCATAGGTTTCGTTATACGTTTTCCCCCTTCCCAATGTGTTACTATGGGTTGCATGTGCTTGCTATGTGTTATATGTGCATGTTACCCCGATTGGTTGAGATCAATCGGGCTATACGGGCAGTCAGATGGGCTGAGAACCATACCGGCTGTTAACCAGGCTGGTAAAGACCGGTCAGGTATATAAATATTATATAGGACTAAGTTCCACTATACGGGCAGTCGGATGGGCTGAGAACCATACCGGCTGTTAACCAGGCTGGTAAAGACCGGTCAGGTATATAAATATTATATAGAACTGCGGTTCATTAGTCGGTTGCGATCGGCTCCTCCGTAATGTGAGACGGGGCAGGGTGCTGCGGGGCCGTGTCAGAGCTATATGCGCTGACCCTCATGTATGGGCATGCGATTGGTCCTGTGGCGCCAACAAAGTGTGCTATGTGATGTGATGAGAAGAATTGATGATGTGACTGTTACGGAAACGTGACCATAGGACTCTTACTAGTAATGCTTATTTGTGATCATTGGTTGTGCTTATCTATAACTGTTCCCTATGTGAGAATTGTTTATGCTTGATTATGACTACTAATTGTGTGTACCCCTATCTGTCGAGTCGGTTCCCTGATTTGAAAACTAGAGTCTCGTAGGATATATCTTCATGCTTCGAAATGACTTTTTGTATATCTATGAATATATGTATATATGTATTGTATTTCAACGCGTTGGAGTGGGTTACCAGCATCTCTCGCTGAACAGATATATTTGGCTTTCAGGTACAGAAGAATAAGTCACTGGAGCGCGCTAGAACTTGGAGCGTAGAAGTAATTAGTTTCCCTTTCGGCCTGCGTGCCATGTTTATGCATTTACATTATTGAGACATTAGTTAGTTAGCCTGTGCACCTGAGTTCTCTAGCTCAGGTGTGGCATAGCACCCCGTACTCTCGTACTCTGTTTGGGATTTAATGAGATTTCACCTTTATTTTATAAGTTTTTAAATACCTTGAAAATTGGGGTGTTACACGGCTTTTCAAATGCATCCTGATAAATCGCCTGGTCCTGATGGGTTTGGTCCGGGGTTTTTTCAGCACTACTGGGACATTGTCGGGGGAGAAGTGTGGTTATTTTGTAAGCAGTTTCTTAAGACTGCAAAATTACCCCAGAGGGCAACTGAAACCTTTATTGTGTTGGCTCCTAAGAAGCCGAGTCCGGTATCTATGAAGGATCTTCGCCCTATAGCTCTGTGCAACGTGGTTTATAAAATCGCGGCAAAGGTATGTGCTAACAGGTTGAAACATATGTTGCATAAATTGATTTCCAGTGCGCAGAGTGCTTTTATTCCGGGGAGACTAATGTCGAATAACATAATGTTGGCATATGAGGTGCACCACTACCTGAAGAGGAAAACGCAGGGACAGAATGGTGTCGTGGCACTGAAATTGGACATGTCCAAAGCTTATGATAGGGTTGAGTGGTTGTATCTAGAGGCTGTAATGTTGAAAATGGGATTTGCTAAGCAGTGGGTCGATTTAATGATGAAGACGGTTACATCTGTGCGTTATAGTGTACTGCATGAGCACCGGCAGGTGGGGCCTATATTACCGGGAAGGGGACTTCGTCAGGGGGACCCGCTTTCACCCTATTTGTTTCTGTTTGTAACCGAGGGACTCAGTGCATTGTTGGAGAAGAGAATGGCTGGGGGTGTGTTGCATGGTGTCACAGTTGCTAGAGGAGCCCCGGCGATCTCTCACCTTTTATTTGCTGATGACTGCTTCTTGTTTCATCGGGCGAATTTGGATGAGAGCGTGCAGATGAGGTATGTTCTGGATACTTACTCTAAGGCTTCGGGCCAATGGGTTAATTATGATAAGTCCACTGCGTGCTTTAGTGCAAATGTTCAGCAGAATGTGCGGAATGAGGTGGTGGAGGTTCTGGGGGTGGAGGAAGGGGTTATGAGTGGGAGGTATTTAGGGCTACCATCCCTAGTTGGCAGGAGGAAGAAGGAGATTCTGGGTTTCATCAAAGACCGAATGCTTGCTAAGATCAGATCGTGGAGTGCAAAGTTCCTATCGAGAGCAGGTAGGGAAGTCCTGTTGAAGAATGTGATTCAAGCAATACCCACCTTTGCAATGATGATTTTCTTGTTACCTGTGGGGCTGTGTCGAGAGATTGAGATGTTGATGAATCAGTATTGGTGGACTGGCAGTGTAGGAGGGGGTTGGGGCATCCGGTGGCGCTCTTGGGAAGGGTTGTGTAAGCCGAAGGTTTGTGGAGGTTTAGGGTACCGGAGATTGCATGAGATGAATAAAGCGTTGCTTGGGAAGTAAGCTTGGCGCTTGGTAACCAAACCACAGTCTTTGGTGGCTCGGGTTTACAAAGCGCGTTATTACCCGAGGTGTGGTTTCTTTGATGCAACGGAGGGTAGTAATCCCTCTTACATTTGGAAGGGTATTATGGCGGTACAAGGGGTGTTGAAGGAGGGGTGTAGGAGGGTCGTTGGGAATGGGGCGGACACGATAATTGGTTTGGATCCCTGGTTGCCAGATGACAACAACCCATATGTGGAAACAGAGTTGCACCAGTCTGTCTTTAGAGCTCGGGTAACGTCTTTGTTGAATGACCAAGGTACGGGATGGGATTATGATTGCGTTAATGATATTTTTAATTCCCTTGATGCAAGATTGATTATGAATATTCCGGTTAGTTGGCGCAGGCCTGTTGATCGCTGGACTTGGCATTGGGATCCGAAGGGGATGTATTCTGTTAAGTCATGCTACAAACGGATTACCATGGTTGCCCCGGATGATCGGCCATGGTCACGTATATGGAGTTTACATGTTCCCCCTAAGGTAAAATGTTTCTGTTGGCAGCTAGCTTATGAGTTTCTTCCCACACGTGATGCGTTGGCTGTGAAAAGGGTAGCTTGTTCACTTGATTGTCATATGTGTAGGCTGGTGGCCGAATCTGCGGTCCATCTTTTTGTTAACTGTGCGGAGGCCAGGCGGGTTTGGAACCTATTGGGTGTGCCACAGCTGAATGCTTATGCAGGTGATAATATCTCTGATTGGTTTTTTTGGTGTGTTAGTAAGTTGTGTGCCGACTCTTTGCCAAGGTTTGTAATGGTATGTTGGGGATTGTGGACAAGCAGGAATGATAGTGTCTGGAAGGGCAGTGTGCATAATTCAGCCACGGTGGTGCAGCGTGCCCTAGACTTTCTGGAAGGGTGGCGTGGGGCGAATCAGGAACATCGTGTGAATGGGCCGGTGGACGTTGACCACTGGAAGAAGCCGCGGTTGGGCAGGGTTAAATTAAATACGGATGTTTCGGTTCGGCAGGAGGAAGGACGGATGGGGTTGGGTTGGGTGCTGCGAGATGATAATGGGGGGGTTCTTGGTGGCTAAGATTGTGCTTGTAGCAGGAACTTATTTGGTGAAGGAAGCCGAGGCCTTGTGCGTAAGAGAAGCTCTTAGCTGGCTGAAGGCTACGGGACTAGGATGTGTGGATGTGGAGATGGACTCACAACTGGTATGTAATGCTATTCATTCTGTGTCTTTTGGTTCAGCTTTTGGCTATTTGGTGGATGATGTAAAGGATTTGGCATCTGAAATTGAGGATGTTGAATTCTACTTTGTTAAGCGATCTGCGAATCGTGCCGCTCACTGTGTTTCTAGGGAGGCCTTTTCTGAGTCAGGTTGCGGGGAGTGGCTGGACTCCCCTCCATCTTTTCTTGTAAACATTCTTCATTCTAATATAATGAATTAAGTTTACTTTCTCAAAAAAATTAAATTTTGGGTTGTCACAGAAGATCATGGCCCAAGCCCTTCACTCTCATCTCCTGAAGGAGCGCGATGGCCGAGCTCAAGATATGGACGCATTTGCGAAGGAGAAGGAGGCTCTTCTCAAAGAGAATGAGAAGCAGTCGGTCGAAATCACCAGGCTAACCGAGCTCCTTCGAGTCGAGAAAGAGAATGTCGTCAGTGCCGTGGCCGACTATAAGGGCTCGACGGATTTCAAGACAGATTCTCTGGCAGAAGCGCGCGCCACTCACTTAGAAGAGTTGGTGAAGGAATGGTTGTCGACTCTGGCCAGTGACGACTATTTGGTGGAGTTGGGTGAGCGAGACTACACCCTGGGCTTGTGCGACTCTCAGCACGACATTTATGACATGCTGTTAGCCAGGCATGTGGCACCCCGAAAATCCTATCCTTTAAATAGGATTAATTGAGTAATCAATCCTAAATTATCCTTGTTGACTTTATAACCAATTTCCTAAATTGATAGTCGGAGGACCTAAATTGACCAACTCTTTGGTCAATTGATTTAAGTAAAAAAGGAGTACCTTTAGCTTTGATGGTTGTACCCAATTCTTTGGGGTCTTCCTAAGCCTTTCTAGGGAAAGTAACAGTATGATGGTCTTTTCCCCTTACTTGGTCTTGAAGCCTTACCCTACCCAAACCTAAAATTCATTTCATCACTTTAGCAATACAACTTTTCTCTCCCTTCTCTCTAAGAAACTTGGCTTCTTCCCCAAGCCAAGAAAGACATAACCTAATCTTGTAAAGATTCATCCCAAGATCCCACCTTTCTATCTTCCAAGCTTAGGAAAGGGTAAGATCTAAAGTTATTTAGTGTTTTTGGTTAGCTTTAGGGTGTCTTTATCTAAGTTTGGTGTTTTCTTGTGGTTTGGCTTGTGTAAGAAGGTTGTGAGGAAGAAGAGCTTCCAAGTAGGGCCTAGGAGGGTTAGAAGAAAGAAGGTTTTGGTCTTCAAAGGTAACCCATGCTATACAAAACATATTTTCTACTTGCTGTTGATGATTCTTAACTTCTATTGATGATTCTTGGTGTAAATGTGAGATTTGATGCATGATCTTGTGATAATGCATGTTTAGAGCTTGTATCTAGGTTTCTTGAATGCTATTCTTTGATCTATTCATGTGTTCAAGTCATTTCCTTGTTGTGTGTGAGATTTGGGGTGTTTTGGACTTGAACTTGACCTTGGAGATGAATTTCCCCGAAGGAAAATAATTTGTGCTCGGGTGTTCCCCGCGGACGAAATGGCGAGCGGATGTCCACCCACCGCCCCACCTGCGGGTGGCAAGTGTGTACCCAACGAGGGGTACCGCGGGTAGGGACCCACCCGCGGGGTACACTGATGGTGGAATGTTGGGTGTTGTGTTCCCGTGGTTCCATCTCTTGGTATGTGATGTTTTGACATCCTTTTGTTGGATTGTTGAGCTTTTGAGTGTCTTCTTGATGTTTCGTATGTCTAGAACGATGTCCTAAGTATCCATGTTAGGATTTGGTGTCTTGAATCGTGCTTATGGTCCAACTTTGTGATTCGTTGGAACCATTTTGGTTTACCCGTTTGATGAGCATGCTAGTTATGTTGTCTTTGATGCTAGTATGTGTTGTTTGTCCATTCCTTGTGGATTGGCAACTTGTGTTGCCAATCTTGTTGATATTGGATTGAAGTCCATTGTTGTTGTTGAGTATTGTTTCATGTCTATCATTGAAATCTCTTGATTGATGTCTATAATGTGATCTTGTACATTTGTTGTACCTGTTGTTGATACTTGATTGGGCTATTGATGAGTCTCAATCCTCTTGATGATGACACATTGATGATGACTATGTGTGACTATGAATGAAATTGGTGGTGATGTGACTTGAGCTTTGCTCACGAGTTTGGCAGTATGTGACTATGATATTTAATGGTACCCTCGTGTACTGAGAGTTTGGCGGTATTGTTTGGCGGGGGACGACGGTCCCAGGAGGGATAAGGTTGGACTCAGAAGTACAGGGTGGCACTCGGAGGTACAGGTTGGAACTGAGATAAGGCCGGGGGTAGCCATAAGGGTGGTACTAAGGTACAATGTTGGAACGTGAAACTTGTCATTATGTGAACTGTTGTGTTTATTGCTTATGAGCATGTCTCTCGAGAACTCTACCATTAAGATGGTAGGTTGTGTCTGTTGTTGAGAATGTTGCTTGTTGTCCTTGTTGTCTTGTGTATTGTTGTTGATGATCGGTCTTTTGTTGAGAGCGTGATGTTGTGTTCTTTGATGTTCCCTCTCTTGACTTTGAAACGATATATACTGTATTCCTTTGTCTCAAATGGTTTTGCCTATATATATATTATGTTACTTAACGCGTATTGGTGGGTTACCAGCATCTCTCGCTGACGGGTGTTATCCCTATGTTTTTCAGGTTATGATTAGCTTGGAGAGCGCGCTAATGGATCTAGATAGCGTAGTTCTTATGCCTTCCTTTTTTATTAGACTGTTGGCCTGTGTGCCCTAGACTTTGACGTTGTTACGAATGTTTCTGTTAGACTTAACACGTGTACTTGTAGATTTATGGGTGTGGCATAACACTTTCCCAATTAATGTTTAGACTGTTTATCTCTTATTTGAGCTTTTAAATTTTGGTAAAATCGGGGGTGTTACAAGGGACCCCAGCTTTACCCCCAAAGGTTGGGGCCTGAAGCCATGCCTGCTTTCTCCTCAAGCGCCGGTGACTGCAGCTGCCGACACCCTTCAAGGCATACAAGTTCAAGCTTCTTCAGAGGGTGTCGTCTTGACTTCTCCATCTGACGAAACCACGGGGGGGTGGGGGGGCTAGAGCAAGCCGGCGATGCACAGACTCGGTCAGAGAGACCTTCCCCCACTTTCCCTATTGGACCATCGGAGGGCGAGTGAGGCGAAGTCCCACAATAGATCTTTTAAAACCTTCCCTTCTATGAAAATGCTACTTTTGGTCGACGTCTTCTATTTTTGTCTATCCTCAAAACGTCTCAGGGTTAAGGCCTTTTCTTGTATTTTCTGTTTTATGCGCGAGCCCCTTAATCGAAGCGACTCCCGGCTACAAGCCATGCTTGAGAAATTCTTACTCGTCCGAGTTCCTAAGTCGAGACGACTTTCAACTAGGATTTTCATTCCTTTCAGGAAACTCTCACCCGCCCGAGTCTCTCAGTCGAGGCGGCTCTTGACTGTGTTTTTCTTTTCCAAGCGACTTTCACTCGCCCGAGTCCCTCAGTCGAGGCGACTCTCGGCTGTGACTCTTTTCCAAGAGACTTTCACTCGCTTGAGTCCCTTAATCGAGGTGACTCTCGACTGTGACTCTTTTTTTCAAGAATGTTCTAAGGGTTTTGGGTCATTCCTTTTCTCCTCTTTTCTTTTATTTTTTTATGAGTATGAGCAGAGCTCGCCTTGAGCTACTACTTCAAGTATTCGCACCGAACCCCCTTTTGGCGTGTTGAATGACCCCTTGATTACTGCGTGTTGACCCACCCCGCTGTTATTGCGTGTTGGCCGACTCCGCAATTATCGCGTGTTGGCCGACTCCGCGATTATCGCGTGTTGGCCGACTCCACGACGATCGCGTATTGGCTGACTCCGCGGTTATCGCGTGTTGGCCGACTCCACGGTTAATTATTCTGGATTCATCTTATATACCGCCCATTATGCCTCTTTCTTTTTTATTTATTTTTTATTTTTATATTCGACCCTTTGACCTGTTTATACTTGTATTAACGCTGGGCTAAGAAGACTCTTGAAGGCACGTTGAGTGAACATGTGACACCCTTTATTGAGACTCGGAAAAGAAGCGCAAATACATTTGAATCTAACCTTTCACTAGTAATACTTCTTTAGGTGGACCGCGTTCCATTTTCGGTCAATGAGTCGTCCCTCCAGTGTCTCTAACTTGTAGGTACCTGCCTGGATGGCTGCCGCTACTCGGTATGGACCTTCCCAATTGATGGCGAATTTTCCTCCTTCAGTCGGTCGGCTGGCTTGCCTATCTCTTAGAACCAGATCTCCCACTTGAAACCGCTTGACCCGAGTCCGTTTGTCTTGGTACCGCTTAATAGACAGTTGGTACTCAACCATTCGCGCATGAGCCACCTCTCTTTTCTCTTCCAAAAAATTTTTCCCGATCCACAGACTTTCCTCATTTTCTTCATTCGAGTAGTGGATGACTCGGTAGGTGGGCTCGATAATTTCTAACGGGACCTTCGCCTCAAAGCCATAGGCTAGGGAAAAGGGGCTCTCTCCCGTGACTCGTCTCTGAGTGGTCCGGTAGGCCCACATCACTCGGTCCAGTTCGTTAACCCAATTTCCTCCAACGTCTATAAGCTTTTTCCGAATGCCGTCCACGATGGTGCGATTCGTGTTTTCTACCTGTCCATTTGCCTGCGGGTAGGCGACCGACACCTTAGTGTGCCGAATCCTGTGTTGCTGGCAGAACTCAGCAAATGGCTGACAATCAAACTGCCGGCCGTTGTCGCTGATTAAATGCTCAGGGAGTCCAAAGCGACAAATTACTCTCTTCCAAAGAAATCGTCAACACTGGTACTCAGTAATCGTAACCAACGGCTCGGCTTTGACCCACTTGGTGAAATAGTCAATGGCGACTACTCAAAATCGAAATCGCCCTGGTGCCTGAGGTAGTGGTCCAAAGATATCGATTCCCCACTTGGAGAAGGGGATGGCGGTTGTGATAGGAGTGTAAAACGTAGCGGGCCTTGTGTCCTTTCGGGCAAAGGCCTGACATACGGTACATTTTGCCACACAATCCCTCATCATGATGGACAAGTAGTATCCTTGGACGACCAACTTCCGAGCGAGGGTATGAGCCCCTTGGTGCGCAGCGCTTATCCCTCGATGCACCTCCTCCATTATTCTCTCAGCCTCTGGCCGCAATAGACATCTCAAAAGAGAACCTCCGAACGACTTTTTATAGAGTCAGCCGTTAATGATGTCGAAGGATGGTGCCTTTCTTCGAACCCGAGCAGCAACAGCCGAGTCGTTAGGTAACTCATCCTTCTCTTTGTATCTTAGGATGTCTTCGATCCAGAACATCTCTGGATTAGCTTAGGGTCCCAATCTTTAGTTGTTACTTGTTCGATTTCTTCGACCGAGTCGTCAATACTAGGCTGATATATTTCCTATTTTTGACATATTTGCATCAAATGGTCGGGTATCCCGCCGAAAGCCATCTTGGATAGGATGTCGGCTTCTGTGTTCTCCGCCCTCGGGATGTGCTCAATCTCGTGGGCCAAGAACCCCTGCAGGAGTCCCCCAGTTTTTTCCTTGTATAGTAGTAGCCGATCACTCCTGGCTTCGCAAGTTCCAGTCACCTGCCCCACCACAATGCGAGAATATGTCTTAACGCGTAACCGAGTTGTAACACCCCAGATTTTTAAGACTTTTAAAACTTATATAATAAAGATAGAATCTCATGAAATCCCAAAATACGATACAAGAGTACGGGGAGCTATGCCACACCCGAGCTAGAGAACCCGGGTGCACAGGCTAAATTCTAAAACCTCAATCAGTATCAAAACTAAATCATGGCACGCAGGCCGAAAGGGAAACCTATCTTAATGCTACGCCCCAAGCTTCTAGCGCGCTCCAGTGATCTACCCGTCTGTGCCTGAAAGCCAAATATATCTGTTCAGTGAGAGATGCTGGTAACCCACTCCAACGCGTTGAAATACAATACATATAGACATATATATAGATATACGAAAACCATTTTGAAGCATGAAGAT